GAGAGAGAGAGAGAGAGAGAGAGAGAGAGAGAGAGAGAGAGAGAGAGGAGGGAGAAGCCCAGGAAGCCCAAGATCCAGCTAGCTTGGTGTATGCAATGGTAAATAGCAGGAGACCTTGTCTCAAACGAGGTAGAAGGCAAACCCGGACAGTCGAGGTTATCATCTTCTGACCTCTATGTGCACATGTGGCATACACTCTGCTCTCACCCATGTGTGCCCACAAATCACTTCAGTGGGATGCTGCACAGCTTCCCACCTCCTCACCCCTCCTTCCTCTCTCCCTCCAACCTTCCCCCAGCTTTAAGTTGCATGCATACATACATCCATGCATGCCTGCTAGGACTTACATAGCCCCGGCAACTTTGAATTCACTACGTAGCAGACGATGAACTTGAAGCCCTGCTTCCCCTGCCTCCTCCCTCTGAACGCTCAGATTATAGAAATGAGCCACCATGCCCGCTTTATGTGGTGTTAGAGATTGAAGCCAGGGCTTCCTGTGTGCTAGGCAAGGACTCTGTCACCTGAGCCACACCGCCACCTTCTGCTCTACCTCCAGGAACCATATTCTTCTGGTGCATCATGTCTTTCTCTCAACAGCAGTCACACTATTGAACAGCTGTTGGATATCTCTGACATGCTAAACAAGTGACTCACTTCAGTGTAATTTCTGTTTGCCAGTCCTTCGGGGGCAGAAATGCTTCCTCGGCAGAAGGTTGGCCTCAGGAAGGACAGGCCCCAGCTCACAGGAAGGGAAGAAGAGGACTTAGGGGTGGACCCAGCAGTCACTTTCATCAAGACTCAAGGCTGGACATGGTGGCACCTGCCTGGAACCCTAGCTCTCTGGAGGTGGAGGCAGAAAGATCAGGCTTTCAAAGCTATCCTTAGCTAAGTAGAGTTTGCAGCCAGACTGGAGCTATAGAAGACCTGTCTCATAAACCAAACAAACCAAACAAACCAAAACAAAAGACTCAAATACAAGTATCTTCACACTTCAGAATTTGTAGTGTGTGTCTGTTCCCCCACCACAGGCTAGAATTTTCCTATGCTTTTGAACATCTATAGAGTCTTTCATTGTTGGACCACCTAATCTATTTCACTTTCTAATGGCCATTACCCTGTTCCCAGATTTCTGCCATTACAAATTATACCACAGCCAAGCATGGTGACATAAGCCTGTTGTTCCTGGTAACGGGGAGGCTGAGGTTGGAGGAGTACTTACACCCCAGAGTTCAAGACTAGCCTGGGAAGTGACCATAAAAATCTTATCTCAGAGAGAAAGAGAGAGAGAGAGAGAGAGAGAGAGAGAGAGAGAGAGAGAGCGCTGGGGAGATGGCTCAGAGGTTGATGTTAAGAACACTGGAAGCTCTTAGAGAAGACTAGGGTTCAGTTCCCAGCACTCACATGGCCACTAACAACTGTAACTCCAGTTTTAGGTGATCGGACGCCCTCTTCTGGCCTCTTTGGGCACTGTATGTACGTGGTGCACATACAGACATGCAGACAAAACATCTACATGCACAACCTAAATAGAAACCCAATAAGAGACACAGTTCCATCTTCCTATGCACACGCTGTCCTGACCTTTACTAACATTTATTATTCATTAGGGTTAAGAGAGATCTTACTCACCGGGCGGTGGTGGCGCACGCCTTTAATCCCTGCACTTGAGAGGCAGAAGCAGGAAAATCTCTGAGTTTGAGGTCAGCCTGGTCTACACAGGGAGTTCCAGACAGCCAGGGCTACACAAAGAAACCCTGTCTCTAGAAAAAAAAGGAAGGCTATTACTGTGTTGACTAAGAGCTCTTTATGAACAAGAGTGGACAATTTTTGCATATTTTAAAACTGGCTTTATTAGTATATATTAATTATATATAATAATTATTTCAGTTTTGCATTCTCTTATTGGCTGTTTGCATGTCTTCTATGAAATATTCATTCATGTTTGTTGATTGTTTTGACCTGTGTTTTCTTTTGCCTTTCAGTTATTGACTGTAGGGACTTTTTATTTATTATGGATCCTAACCTTCTAAACATACTGAAAGTATCTCTGTCCTAGCTGGCCATCATTCTTAAACTCTGTCATCTTTTCTATTTGCTCACCAACTTGTGGACCCTTGAAGGTCATGCTTCTCATCGATATTGAGCTGGCTTACATGAATACCAACCATGAAGACTTCATAGGCTTTGCCAAGTGAGTGTTCCCAGGGGTGACCCTTTGTGTGTGTGCATGCACATAGGCATGTATATATATATATGTACATGTGTGTGTGTAGATCCCAGTTCTGCCCGCTTAGCCCTCTAAGTTCTGGGGCTAGAGAGATGGCTCAGAGGTTAAGAGCACTGACTGCTCTTCCAGAGGTACTGAGCTCAATTCCCAGCAACCACATGGTGGCTCACAACATGGTGGATCTGTAATGGGATCCAGTGCCTTCATCTGGTATGTCTGAAAACAGCAAGTGTGCTCATATACAATAAATAAATAAAATTTTTAAAAAAGCCAAACTTCTAAGTCCTGTGCCCCATGAGCTGTGAGCAGTGGAGCTGGGCCTCTTGAGAAAAGTTTTGAGACTCCTCCCCTCTCTCCCATTAGTGCTCAGCAGAGAAGCAACCAGATGAACAAGAAGAAGACTTCAGGGAACCAGGTGAGTGGGCCCCAGTGCCCCAGCCCAAGGAATGGAGGATGCCGAATGGAACTTGGAGCTCTGAGAACCCCCTCTCCCAATGGGAAGGGTCCTCCGGGGGCCAGAGAGCCTGCCCTCTGCCAGCCACAAGCTTCCCACTCTGCCTCAGTAATCCTCTTTCCTCTCTCCCCGATGCTTCTCCTGGTTGCTATGGTTACTTCTCCTGGTTGCTATGGTTACCTCTTTGCAGGATGAGATTCTGGTGAGTACCAGGACTGGGATGTGGGGGGTCTTGGCTTGTGCAGTGCCGGGGAGGTGGAGTCTCGCTGGTGATGGGGATCTGCGTGGGGCAGATCTGCGTGGGGCAGAGGATACCCTTTGTCTGAGCACTTTGCACATACCAGCACATGAATTCCACGCCTGCTCAGAGGACAGAGAAAGGCCCGGCCATGCACACAGTCCCATAACTCATCTATAAGTGTGCACAAGCCAAGCACCTGCTGCAGGCAGAGCTACCCTACATGGGGATGGATGGGACCAGGGCTAGGTAGGTGCCTTTAAAAGTCTGTTGGAGGAATGTTTGGTGACTTTTTGGAGTGGATATGAAACAGGAATGTTCTTAAGAAGCAGACAGTGGGGGCTGGAGAGATGGCTCAGTGGTTAAGAGCACTGACTGTTCTTCCAGAGGTCCTGAGTTCAAATCCCAGCAACCACATGGTGGCTCACAACCATCTGTAATGAGATCTGATGCCCTCTTCTGGTGTGTCTGAAGACAGCTACAGTGTATTCATATATAGTAAATAAATAAATCTTAAAAAAAAAAAAAGAAGCAGACAGTGACCTTCAAAGGAGAGTTAAGACTTCATGAGCAATCAGGAGCCTGGTCCCTCCTCTCCTAGCTCCCTGCTCCATGCTTCAAATGGCTGTGGAAACAGCACTTAGCAACAGCCCTTGCTCTATCCAGTTATACACACAAGACCTAGAGTCTTCAGTATTTCCCAAGTAGTTTCCAGAGGCCGTGACTGGTTTAATATCTGCTTCCTATCCAGCCTTGGGCCTTGGTCACCTCCCACCCCCAGGTTCTGGGTCCCAGCACATGGTAGGTTCTCAGAGAAGGAAGACCAAAAGAAATTGTATGTCAGGAAGGTTCAGAGCCTGCCCCTGCACTTTCCCTGCCCCTGCCCCTTGGAGACCTGATACCTATAGATAGGGCCCCAATAGGGCATCTGAGAGTCCTGGTGGGATAAGAGTATCTAGTCCAGGTACTCCAGACGGTGAGCTAGGTGAGCAGGTGGAGAAAGCAGAGGGTTGGAGGTGGCTAAGAGGAGGAGACGGCTGTAAGTCAGCCGGGCTGTAAGTGTACCATCCTGGCCAGATCCTGGAACAGCAATGGACTCCGTTCCAAAAGCAGACACTGAGGAGATCCCACCAGCAGGCTGGGAGAGAGTTGGCAGGGTGTCTGGTTCCAGCCGCCCTGTTAATTTGTTAATTGACCAAAGTAGTGGTCCTTCTGCTGGGTGCTGATAGATTGTGCGATTTGAATTCCCAGTGAGGTTCTCAGAAGCCTGAGGGAGTCAGGCAAGGCTAGAAGCAAGTTGTGCACCTAGGCCCTCAGAGAAGCATCCAGTGAGGTCAGGGCCAGGGAGGGAGCAAGGTGCAGCCCTTCGTCCGTCAGAATCAGCGGCGGGGGCGGGGTGGGCAGTAACCAAGGCTGGTAGGATGCTTTGAGATAGACCTCTGGAAATGGACTCTTGCTTGTTATTCTGGACTTTTGGTAGGAAGTTCAGGCCTGGAAAATGGGTGACTTTGCTTCTTCCTTCTGCCCCAAAGGCTCTTAGAACTGTCACAGGTCAGTGTTCATTTATTTATGTCACCACAAGCATTCCTCCATCACTTACTGACTAGCCGGCACTCTGCAAAGTGATGAGGGGCACAGGGAGATGCGTGCATTAGCAGGAAAGAGCAGGAAAGGTGGTGTATGTGGGCAATACTGTTCTTTCTGAGGAGGGAGGGAGGCAGAAAGAGAGAGAGAACGAGAGAGAATTACAATTGCAGTCTCAGTTACAGAAGCAAACATAAGAGACTGGTCAGAGATCATTACTGTGCTTCTGATTGGCACGGGGGGCAGGGAGGGCCGCTCGCCACCGTGTAAGTCTATATGGATCCAGGCAAAAGGGGAAGAGGAGCAACTGCAGCAAGTACAGGTTCTAAGGTTAGAAACATGTGTCACAGGACACCCTCAAATGATGCTTGGAGTTGCCCTACCCAAACATCTGCCAAACTCCGCTTGCATACTGTTAGCGATGGGGAACTCACCCTCTATTAAGTGACCAATCCCTGGCTCACACATCTCTGGCAGTTAGAAGGCTCTCTATCTCGGGCTGACCTTTGCTTTCCCGTCTTCCACTCTCTTCACTTGTGGCTCAAATCAGGGTAGGTCTGGCCCCCACCCTCTCTGACCAGTCAGGCCTCAGAGAATTGGAGAAGAGGCGTTTGAAGGCCTGCTCACTCATCTTCTCCTCCATGGGGAAGCCTGGCCCATGCCCACCAGCCTCCTCCCCTCCCCGCTCCAGGTCATTCGAAAGGGGTGGCTGACCATCAACAACATTGGCATCATGAAGGGAGGCTCCAAGGAGTACTGGTTTGTGCTGACTGCTGAGAATCTGTCCTGGTACAAGGACGATGAGGTGAGTCAAGGATTCCTGACTGTCAAAGGTCGAGTGGACTAGGCCACACCCCAGGGGTCTGAAAAGACTTGTACGAGGGTGCAGAGGAGGGTGTATAATCAGAGAGGTACCCTCTCATCCAGGCTGGAAGGAGAAGATGGCAGGCCTGGAAGCACCCTGGAGTGGGTAGGCAGGGCTGCTGGGTGCTGCTCCCTGACGCAGCAGCCCAGTGGCCTTCCTGTTTTCTCACTCCGAGGCGTGCCTCCTTCTCTGTGGCCCCTACAGGACCATGACACACACATGTCCAGCTGCCAGACACTCAGTTAACCCCTGCACCCCAGTACCCTCAGCCCCTGCCAACCAAGGCAAGCTGTTCAGGAGACTCCCAAGCCAAGGGACCAGTAGTGATGATGGCCTGAAGAGCCAGCCCCCAGAGTAGCCCCCTGCCTGCTAGGGCATCTAGAAGCCCCCACCAGTCTCCTCCAGTTACTGGTCTCCTTTAAGAACGAGTCTGTTTGGCTCTCACATCTGGATTCCAGAGGTGACCAGCGAGAAAGGGGGGGGGCAGACAAGGGGTGTTGTGGTAATGAACTCCAGCTGGCCAAGGAGTGGGGGGAAGGGAGCCTCTTCTTCCTGAGGGGACTACCATAAGACAGGGTGCTCTCAATGGGGCAGTAGCATTTTAGAGTGGGGGAGGAAAGTCTGTGATTTGGACCATCATGGCCCCTCCGTGATCACTGTCTCCAACAAGTCTGCCTTGGGAAGGGGCTCCACCTCCCCACCTTGGGCGGGGTCCTCTGTCGTCACTGGGGGGGGGGGGCGCCAAGCCATCTGGACCTCATTACCCCAACCCTGGCCTCTCCTCAAGCCCAGGGGCCCCTGGAAGGGCTGGAGTGTGAGGTGGTGTGGGACTGGGAGGTGACTTCCTATACCCTGTCATCTTGGCAGCCCCCCTAGACAGCCCCCATGGGTCTCGTGTTCCCATATCTAAGATCCTTATACAGAGTTGGGGGGATAATGGCCCCATAGCTGGCCACCTGGGTGAGCCAAACTGAAAGGGAGATATATATATACATATACATATATATATATATTTTTTTTTTCCAGGTAAGTCTTTTTTTTTTTCTTAGTTTGTGTTTAGTTGTATGTGGATGGAAACTAGCTGAGTACTGGATATAGAGAGGTGGAACCTCATTGTGTGGCTTTGTGTGTGGCTTATGGATGTTTCGTGTGTGTGTGTGTGTGTGTGTGCATGTGTGTGTGTGTTGTGAATGTATTGGGGTATAAATACCTAGGCATGAGTTTATGTGCTCGCATGTGATTTCACTGTACTGTGTGTCAGTGTAGGGTGGGGGTGGTCTGGAGGAGGGAGAATGTGAACAAGGGATATTTGAGAATATGTGTGTGTGTGTGTGGGGGGAATGTGAGGGTGGGGGAAGGGAGCATCCCATTGTGAGGTTGTGTGTCTGAGTGTGAATGCATGCACTTGAGTGTGAATTTGTGTGTGCTTGTGCGTGCGTGAGTGTGCCTGGGCATGGTTGTACACTTTAAAGCTGGGGTGCACAAATGTATGCCTCTGAGCTCTGCTGGTGAGCATTGAAGTGTATGGCCAGGATGGGAGTTCAGTTTTGCACCAGGATACCTGGAGTTTGGGCTTGGGCAGGGGTCTGGTCCCCTCAGCCCAGCCATTTGCCCTCTAGTCTTTGGGTTAAGGAAACCCCTTGACAAACAGGCAGTCACCCACATCACCGACTCCGACGACCTCCTCCACCCCACCCTCTTCCTCATCTTCCTCCGATGCCCTCCCCCATCACCACAAGCTCCTATATGTCCCGTAGCACGATGGCAGTCCCAAAGCTCTGCACCTCCTCCCAGTCCACCCCGTTCCCCACAGCTCCCTGCCCCAGGTCCAGGCTCTGGTTCTAGAAGACAGCGGGGTTGGTGAGGCTCTCCAGCGACGGTGCCGAGGGTCTAACCCAGCCCAGCCTAACCAATGTGCAGACTACTGTACAATTTGGGAGTCCTGAACAGGTAGTCTAAACACTGGGTAGACGGAGTGGAGGTATCCTCTGGTCCATCCAGGCAGCAGCGTCTGTCCATCCGATGGGAGCTTTGGTCCCATCCCCTGGAGATACGATGTACCCAGCCCCAGCTCCCATGTCCCCCAGCTCCAGCCAGCCAGCCGTGGTCCCTCTCCGCTCCCGACTCCCCTTCTGCCTGCTTTGACGTGGCAGGGGTGAGCGGGAGCTGGGCTGAGAAGGAGGGGCCTGGGGAGGGGGCCGGCAGGAAGGGAGGGCTGGGGGAGGAGGCCACTCCTACCTAGTGTCCAACCCTGAGCACAAGGCGGCTGTGGCGGGCCTCCCTAGATGGGTTCCAGATGTTCCCTGGCCGTGTGTGCAACTTCCTCCTCTCCTCCCCCAGCCGCCCTCTGGGGCTCCCGGCCACCCGCCTGGCATAAAGAGGGCTTTATGTAGCTGCACAGGCCAGGCGGGTGTTGGGGGCAGAAGGGTGGAGATGACGCCAGGGTGGGAAAGCAAGGTCCTCCTAAGCCCAACCCCCACCTGAGATCCAAGGCTTATGGACCCCCACACAGACCATCGCTCCTGCTTAGGTCTTACAGTATTGGGTGGGACCAATATGATACAGGCAGCAGAAACTTCTCCTTCTTGGTGCCCATCTGGGCTGTTCCCTCCCAGGCTACAGACACAGACATATCTGTCTATAGATTTACACAGCTTCATCCACAAAACAACACCGACATGTCTAGCTTGCTGCACAAACCATCTGCAAACATATGGCCCTGAAGTCTTATTATGTGACAGTGACTAGCACAATCATATTGTGGTATAGTCCTGTGCACACGTGCACCTATGTACACACAATAGTGACAGACTCGCTTGGCCTTGCAATTCTTGGCCACACAGCCACACACATGTGTTTACACACATACAATTTGCAGGCTTGTGCTGTGTGTCTGATTGGTAACACATGAGTGGCTGGAAGGGGGAGACAGAGAGTGGGCTGAGCCAGCCCTTTGAAGCCTCCAAGGCTAGTGTACCCCCGCCCCCCCATCTCTGTAGTCAGGAAATGAAGTCAGAGGCAGCCAGGCTGGAGGCAAGAGAGTCTCCTGTGAGCCATCCCTGCCTGAGGTCCAGCCTGGCTAGTCTCCAGGACTTCCTTAAGGTGGGATGAGGGAGACCCCATCAGCCCCGCTCCCTTTACCAGTCCCTTATACTGTGACATACATACAGGGCTGCTTGGGGTTGGGTTGAAAGCCATGGGGTTCTGGAGGCTGGTGATATCCAGATGGGGCTAGGGCTCCATGGCAGGGTTACTGTATAGCACACCACATGTGCGGTGGGAAGGGCTACAGCCCAGGATGACTTTGGGTGCTCGCCGGCATGGATCACTCTGAGCGACAGAGGCTTGGCAGTGCCAGACTGACCCCTCTCTCCTACCCTTCTCAACAGGAGAAAGAAAAGAAGTATATGCTGTCTGTGGACAATCTGAAGCTGCGTGATGTGGAGAAGGGCTTCATGTCAAGCAAGCATATTTTTGCCCTCTTCAACACAGAGCAGAGGTGCCTACTTGCCCCTTGCTGAACTGATGAGACCCCAGACTCTGAAAGCCCAAACTATTGCCTGCTGTGTAGAAAATGGGTATACAAATCCAGGAACCTGTCATCAACAGCTACAAAGTTTCTCCTGAGTACTAGGGCCATGTCTAAACATCCTCCTTCCCTCTCCCTCCTCCCCTTCCTCCTCCCCTCCCTCTTCCTATTCCTCCTTCTTTCTCACAGTCACTTACCTAGTGTCTGCCCAGCATAAAATACTCTTCCAGGTGCTAGAAACAAAAAGCAGAAAGACTGCCTCTTCAGGGAGGACTTCAGGACTAGAGCTCACTTCCAACCCAGGCTGGTTCTTTTTTCCTCCTTCCTTTTTTTCTTTTCTTCTTTTCCAAGACAAGGTTTCTCTGTGTACCCCTGGCTGTCCTGGAACTCACTTGGGGCCAGGCTGGCCTCAAACTCAGAGAGATCCACCTGCCTCTGCCTCCCAAGTGCTGGGTTTAAAGGCATGCGCCACCACTGCCTGGCTCCAGGCTGTCTCTTATGTGTGTGTGAGCTCTTTCGTACTGAGATAAGAATCACAAACAGCTACCATCTGCTGAAAGGTCCTGAGACCCACACCAGGGCTGGACTGCCTGTCTCCTTTCTTCTTTCCCTTTGAGACAGGGTCTCATTTATGTAGCCCAGACTGGCCTCTCCTTGGCCTCTCAAATAGTGTGTGTGCCCGTGCCTGGCTTCTGTCCCGTTTTACACTCTGAGCTACTTGTTTCCCAGAAGCATCCCAGTGGCCCCAGCATACAGGAACCATTACCGACCTACCTCCTGAATGGGAACAGTGAGGCTTGAGTAATGGATACTAGGCAGGAGGACCCTAAAGCTCACAGCTCCTTATCCCCCGAGCAGGGTGGGGCTCTCCCTCATCTCTCCTCCCGCATACCCAATCCTGCAGGAATGTCTACAAGGATTACCGGCAGCTGGAACTGGCCTGTGAGACACAGGAGGAGGTGGACAGTTGGAAGGCTTCCTTCCTGAGGGCTGGCGTGTACCCTGAGCGTGTTGGGGTGAGTGGTGGTGGAGTGAGGGGAGAGGAAGACCACTGCTTATCCCTGGGGGTTCCAGGGAACCAGGCTCAGAGAGATTCTGAGCCCTTATTTGAAGAGCAAGCATTCCTTGTTACCTAGATGACTTTGGAACAAAGCCCTCTGGTTTCTTACGTTCCGCACTGCCAGAGGATGTCTCCTGTACTTCCACACACTGGTAGCTTCAGGGTTGCCTCTCCTATCTCCCCTGTCACGGTGGCAGTGTGTACATGTACCAGGGTTAGAGTGCACTGTGCTAAACTCACACAATCTCTCCTCTCCCTCTCCCTCCCCTTCCCCCTCCCTCTCCTGTCTACTTTACATGTGCTCCTTGGTGGTGGCGGTGACTGTGGCCATGCTGATACGGCTTCTGTGGCTCTGACATGGACCTTCAGGACAAGGAGAAAGTAAGTGCACAGGCTCTTCTAGTCTGGCACCTCCAATGGCCAAGCGAGGGAGCTTGGAGGTGTTCTTTTCTAATGTATGGATTGAGAAATTGTGACAAATTCTAGCCACTAGGGTTAGAGTCACACAGCTGCATGTGGGGAGGCAGGGTTCTGCAAGGCACAGAGGCGAACCTGGAGCCCCGAGTTGCCCTCGGCGCCTCTGTGTGGCTGACACCCTTTAGAGGGCTGAGGTCTTAGTGACCCCTGGAGCCTGATTGCACGAGCCCTGCCACACCTCTGCCTTGTGTTTCCACTGGCAGGCCAGTGAGACGGAGGAGAACGGCTCTGATGGCTTCATGCACTCGATGGACCCTCAGTTGGAGCGCCAGGTGGAGACCATTCGGAACCTGGTAGACTCGTACATGGCCATTGTCAACAAGACCGTGCGGGACCTCATGCCCAAGACCATCATGCACCTTATGATCAACAATGTGCGTACACAGTTGTGGGGCGTGCAGCCTGCTCGTGCAAGTCCAAGCGGCCAGCTGGCTGGTTTCTTTTTATTGCATTATTTATGTGTGCACAGGGCAGGGGAGCACATGCCTTTGTGTTTGTTGTGTGCTGGTCCTGGACAACTTGAGCAAGTTTGTTTTCTCCTTTTACTGTGTAGGTCTGAAGGACTGAACTCAGATCCGTAGGCTTACCTGCAAGCACCTTTACCCACTGAGTCATCCCACACTCTCCAAACCCTTAACTTTTTATTTTTTTCCAAACTCTAGCTGGCCTTGAACTCAGAGAGATCCACTTGCCTCTGCCTCCTGAGTGCTGGTTCCAAAACCCTTAATTTTGATAGTATTCATTTTAAGCCCAAGATATCTGAAATATTATTGTCTTGAGATATGGAGATACTGTTTGTTGTGGAGCCTAGGCTGGCCTTAAACTTGTGGCTGATCGCTCCCTGGCTTTACCTCTTGAGTGCTGAGATAACAGGTACGGCCTATTTACTACACCTGACTGCTATCTAGAAACTAGTAATTAACAGGATATGTTGCCTACTATTTTCCCATTAAGTTTTGCAAACCCACTCCAGATGTTACATATCCAGTGGTAATACTTCATCTTAATTTGAATTTCAGGAAACTTACAGTTGAAAAATAAGACACCTAGGTTGACCCAAACATGCATGTTCTTCAGGAGGGGCTAGGAATCATGGCTTTTTGAGAATCTCAGATGCTGCCTTGAGACACACCTCACGGCACCATCACAGACTGGGGCTGTGAAAAAGCAGGCCCCGGGAGAGCAGAACTGGGTTGAAATGCTGCTGGCTTTTCCACAAATTCCCTATGTGATTCTGTGTCTATGTTGTCTGAGTCTGTTTCCCAATGTGTAAAATATGGCCGGCGATAATAGAGTTGAGGACAGAATGCTTATGAGGTGTGAAGCAACATAAAGCCTGGCACATGCCGTGTGGTTAGTAGATTTTGGAAAAGGAGTCAGTGAGATTGGAGTTAAGCTGCAAAGACGCCAGCAGGTCACAAGATTGTCTCAGACTGGCTGGGTTAGGAATGCCTGGGGATTTGAAGTGGGTATTAAACTTCCACTACACACATGGACAGCTTTAACTCGATACAAGAATACATTATAGTTATATATTTGTTATTTTCTTCCTTAAGGACTCAGGGCACGTTAAACTATCTTCTTCCTTATTTTGGTCCCGAAGAAGGCTCATACACTTAGTAGGCAGTTGTCCTAGTGACAGGCCAGGTTCTGAGTCTCCTCCCGGATCTGACAACTAGGGCAGGTGACTTTCCTATCCCGCTGTGTATTCTCATCTGAGAAAAGGACATTAAGATGGGATTTGAAGAGACCTGCCGATTTAGGCACCAAGCAGAAATAGGCATCTGAAATACCAAACCCCAGTTCTGGCAGGTCTGACGAGTAACAAGGTGGCACGGTCATCAGGTTCTAGCCTTCCTTCCCTCTCTGTCTGTGTACAGACCAAGGAGTTTATCTTCTCTGAGCTGCTGGCCAACCTGTACTCTTGCGGGGACCAGAACACACTGATGGAAGAATCGGCCGAGCAGGCTCAGCGGCGCGACGAGATGCTGCGTATGTACCACGCACTGAAGGAGGCGCTCAGCATTATCGGCGACATCAACACGACCACCGTCAGCACGCCCATGCCCCCGCCCGTGGACGACTCCTGGCTGCAGGTGCAGAGCGTACCGGCCGGACGCAGGTACCAGGGCCGGCCCCCACGGCCCCAAAGCCCCCGAGCCCGGGGCCCGCGGGAGGAGGGCCGGGACCGGGCAGTGGCGCGCCCAGGTCTCGGGGGCTCCCACCTGGAGCGAGGGGTGGAGCTTAGAAGAGGGCGGGGCTTGTCGCGGGGCGGGGCTTGCCGTGAGCGCCGGCTGCAGGGTGGGTGGCGCCGCTGGGGACCCGGCTTAGCCTCCCACGCTGTCCAAGGCCGCTGTGGGCGGGGCTTGCTGCATGGGCGGGGACAGCCTGGGCCGAGGGCGGGGTCTCTGTTGGGGGCGGAGCCGCTCATCTCTCCTCCGCTCTTCTTCCGCTCTTGTCGCCCGTAGATCGCCCACGTCCAGCCCCACGCCGCAGCGCCGAGCCCCCGCCGTGCCCCCAGCCCGGCCCGGGTCGCGGGGCCCTGCTCCTGGGCCTCCGCCTGCTGGATCCGCCCTGGGGGGGGCGCCCCCCGTGCCCTCCAGGCCGGGGGCTTCCCCTGACCCCTTTGGCCCCCCTCCCCAGGTGCCCTCGCGCCCCAACCGCGCCCCGCCTGGGGTCCCCAGGTGAGTAGGGGCTTAAAGCGACGTGAAAAGCCGCTAGGCAGGCGTGATCCGGAGGGAGGTGGAGTTGTAGTCTAGATCTTTGGCCTAGCAGAAGCGACCCTCTCCATCCTAGGCGTTGGGATCGCATTGCAAGGCCAAGGGAACTGCGGCCACGGGCAGGCGATCCTGCCCCCAGAGGGCGCTGAGTCCCGGAGGTGGTCGTTTCTGGGGAGGGGGCTCTGGGGCTCAAACCACTTGCCCCCTTCTTTTCAGCACTTGCATGGCGCTTCTCTCTTTTTTTCATTTTCTCTCCATGCCTCCCACACTTTGCATTTCTTAAACCCTTGCCTTCCATCCTCCTCCGTTCCATCCTTCACTCACCCGGCCCAGCTACTGGTGAGCCTACCTCTCAGGTCTAAGGCTCTGACTCCAGATCCTCTCTTTGAACCTTGTGGATTTCTTCAGTTACATCCAGAACTACCTTGATGCCCCACTTCCCAGCCCTGACTCTTTTGAGCTGTCCCAGAGTGCTGGTCAGCCTCTGGCCCACAGTATCAGGCCAGGCTATGATTGTGTGACCAGCAAGGTGTGATGAAGCGTATGTGGGCGTGCACACGAGTGTGAATGTGAAAGTGGCACCCAGGCGTGGACTTGGGTAGAAAGCAGCTGGGGAAGGGATCTGGGAATGGTGGACAGTCTGGTGGTCTGAAACCAGATGATGGGTGTTGGGTAGGGACAGAGATCAAAGGCTACCCTGCTGCTAGAGATCTCCAGAAAAAGGGAATATACTTCATCCCTTGGCTTTGCCTTCTTTATCCATGACTGGCTTTCCAGGAAGTTCACTCTAATAACCAACTCAGTGTGTCCTGTTTCTACTGACTGTGGCTGGTCTCTGAGAAAGAACACATGATCTGACTGACCAATAGCATCTCTTTGGGAATCTAGGTGGCTAAAGGACAGAGCTAGGAGCCTAGCCCCCATGCACCAAATGAGGCAGGGATGGGCCTACTCTGTGGGGCTCTGCTGTCTGGAACAGTAGAGACAGGCAGCATGTCATGGGACTGGGAGTCCAGAAATGCCGCTTCACTTCCCTTAGGCAAGTCATTTTCCCTCCCAGGGCTTTAGTTTCTTTCTAAATAAGTATGGCCTGACATTTTCCCAGGGGAGTGTCAGAGTGACAGGGACAGTGGGCTGCTTTATTAATAGTAAATGTTAGGGTGGGGTAGGTTGGAGACTCAATCATGTAGAGAGCCATGGAAGGTTCTTGGGTGGAGAAATGGCAGCTGTATCCTAGAGCACAAGTCCTATCCCTTACGGAGCCTATGGTAACCCTGTCAGCACACCAGGCCTGAGTGTGCAGGGAGCTGGTGCAAAGGCCTTCTGTGTGCAGGCAAGCTTCTGTGTTGTGACAGCTCATGTGTGTGCTTCCGTGTGCTGAGTGGCTGCATGTCCCGGACCCGTGCTGCACGACGCACTGGCCAGCAATGGTGCTGGGCACTGGGAGGCGGGAGGGGAGAAGTATGCGTGTTTGTGGGCATGTGTGTTAGCGTGTGCATGCAGGGCCTTAAGGCCTCACAGCATGTGTGTGCACGCCCAGGCGTGTGCGTATGTATGTCCCCTAACCCCCAGTCTGGCCCACCTGTGTGTTTGTGAACTGCCCTGTTGATTTCGTGCTGTCTTTCAGAATCACTATCAGTGACCCCTGAGGAGTGTCAGCCACGGTAGGTTATGCTCTCAGCCTGCTGCATGAAGTGTGTCTGCCCCCTCCCTCCCCGCTGCACCAGCTCCATGCTGAGGACACCTGGGAGATCTGAGCCAGGCCCCTCCTTCTCCTGCAGCTCTAGACCCCCTCTTCCTGTCTTCTTCCAGCTGGCTCTCTCACCTCCCTTCCCAGTGAGCCTCGGGACTCAGCGCCACTACTCCAGGCCTTCTTGCTTAAACTGAGGGCTCTTGGGACAGGTTCCATACCAAAGATGGTAGATGTGGGTGCTCTGTGGAGCTGTCCGTGACACCAGACCACTGTTGACAGTGTAGAGACTAAGAACTTGGAGAGGGTGACTTTGGCTGGCCTTGGAGGGACCAGAAGCTTTAGGGCGTCATCTTCATACCTACTCTGAACTATGCTGCCAAGATAGAGCTTTCTACTTTCAACTTAGGAGCACAGGCAACTAAATCCACCACAGGGCAAGCATAACCATGTTGGCAGAGCCAGGGCTGACTGATGACTTTAGATCACTTAAGAGCCATTCTGCCAGCCCCTGAGGGCTCCCAGGCAAGGTGAGGAGGACAGGTAGCCCCTTTCCATTCATCCTTGACATTGCACACCTGTAGTTAACAGCCACCTCCTCAGCCCCAGATACAGAGCCAGCCCATCAGCTCCTGTATTTGACCTGTTTTCAGAGTGACCTGTGCCTTTTAGCCAAAAGCACTTTGGTGTCTACTGACTGGGCGAGTCAACTTGAGTTCTGCCTGGCTGGCCACAGATCTCTCAGTTACCATCCCAACTCTTCCCCAGCCATTGACGCTCACCCTTCTGCTTTTCCCCAGCAGGAAGGGCCCAGCCTCACCTACGCGACCTGCAGCCCCCCGACCAGCGGAGGCTCCCCTCTTAGACTTATAAGTCTGTGGCCACAGGCTTCGGCTGCCTGCCTCCCAGCCTTCCCAGGGTCCCCTCAGAGGACTCCTGGGCTTTCTGACCACCTGAGGGGCCTCCAGCGCTCCCTCCAGAGCCGTCCCCTTTAGCTTCCATCTCCTGGTTCAAGCACTTCTGGCCTCATGGCTGTTACATGGGACTCCCTGAGGCTTGGGGTAGCCCTGAGCCAGTGAGATGGGAGAGAGTGAGCAGAAAAGAGGGAGGCCCTGTGGTGCATTGCCTGGGTGGTGTGTGAGAGGCCGTGTGTGTGGCAAGAGAGGGCCACCCAGCCTCTACCCAGACTACCTGCTAGTTATGGCCCAGCACCCCCATCTTCCCTTTTTCATTCATCAACTGTCCATCTCTTTCGGGAAGCTTGCCCACATCCACACCTGCCTCATCATCCCCTCTGCCTCTGCTGGAGGCGGCTGCTCTTGCCTTACCAGCTCTCCTTCCTTTTCTCTCTTTGGTTCTCTCTTGGCTTTCTCTCCAACTGCCAGCCGATCGGGTCAGGCAAGTCCGTCCCGTCCTGAGAGCCCCAGGCCCCCCTTCGACCTCTAACCAGATCCCTCCTACTCCTCGGAGACCTCCCTTACCAAGCCTGCCTGGACAGCTGTTCTGTGACTTGACAGTGGCTCCCCCAGCCCCAAAACGTCCTATTCATCATCTGTGACTTAGTCTGTTGTAGTGCTGAGCTGACACATCCAGATGTGATGTTGGTGAAAACTTGTGCCCTCTGTGGTATTGCTCCTGCGACATTCTATAAATGTCTATAAATATACCTATATATACATACATATACATACATATACATATATATGGCTGACACGGCTTCGCCTGTAGTGTCAGAATCAACCGCCATGCTGTCCTTGTGGAGTCTTGTGGTCCGACTACAAGGGAACGCTGTCATCCTGACATCCCCCCTTCCAATGTGCCACCTCAGTGAGCCTCCCTGTCCTCCTGGCCTGTGGACAGCCAGCCCCTTGGCCGTCCCCACCCTGAAGCAAGGGGATGGCCACCAGTCTTTCTGTCTCTCGGCTGAGAATAAAACCCATTTCTGGATAGTGGGGAACTGCGTGTAGCTCTGGTTTGTAATCTCTGGGGCTGAGGGGAGGGAAGGTGTAACTTGGGCACTGAGTGGAGGGTGAGGAAAAGCCCTTGCTAGGGTGCTGTTAAGGTGAGTCCTATGAATCCCGCTTCCACCACTAGGAAGCAGTATCATGAGCTCAGCCAGGATGCTGTGAGTGGCCTAAAGAACAGAACAGGCCCCATGTATGGTCAGGCTAGGGGAGAAGGGGACAGAATGTAAAAGGCCTGGCCTGGAAGTCAGCACCCTTAGTTGCTGCACCCTGAGTTCACCTATGTATAAGTCAGGCTTGACTCTGTTACTCAGTAAGGAAGCCCTGTGGGTGGAACCCTTGGCACTCCCCCGGGATCCTTAGGCTTCAATAAGCAGTGTACAGGTGATGGGTGTCAATCAGCCCTGCTAGGCACTTCAGACCTTGGGCTCCACACCGTCTAGAAGCCTGCTCTCTCCAGGCAGGACACATTCCCTGCTCAGTGCCAACCTGAGGCTAACCCCAGAACCAATGATGAACACCCTGGGTCCAGCAGTATGGCTAAATCCATTTATTTCCCAAGTAAAAAGCAAAATAAAGACGAGCTGCATCAGCAGGCGCCGTCACCTCATCTCCGCCTCCCTCCCGTCCTCTGACCTAACACTACCAATAAATAAGTTTCCCAGCCCCAAATGATTATTAGAAGCTCTTCCCCACTTGCCAGCTCCAACCTCCACTATAATACAGGGGTGTCCCTACCCCGGAATATACAAAATGGTACACAGGTACAATATGTACACCGGGGGAGGGGAAGCCCATCCCACCCCAGCAGCCTCTGTCCTGCTTGGCATAGGTACCCCAATTGTCATAAGGCCTGAGAGGATGGTACCCACTTTCCCTGTCCCAAAGTGCCTCAAAAAGATGGAAGCCCTCCTAAGTGGGATGCCTTCCTGAGGCAGTTAGGTCCAACTGCCTGGGGACCCATGAGAATGCTGCCCAGCCGCACTGCCCTAAAGTGCCTCTAAGAAGATGGGAGTTGGTCTGGGGACATGCTGTGCCCTGGGTTCCATCCCCAGCATCACAACACAAAGGAAAAAGGCAGGTAGTGCTGGGGGTAAATCACTTGGTAGAGTGCCTGCTTAGCATTGCCAACCACCAGGCACAGCGGTGAGGCAGGGGATCAGCTCAATATGTAGTGATTTCAAGGTTAGCCTGGGCTACATGAGACACTATGTAAAGAAAATGAAGATAAAATGGGGGTGGGGAGGAAAAGGGGGGTGGAAAGGACTGACCCGGTGAAAACTTAGGAGCCCTGCTGAAGGCTAGGCTGATCTATCAGCTCGTGCTGCACCTGGGCATGAGAATGCTGCCAAACTGTTCTGCCCCAGAGTCCTGAGTAAGCACTGAGTCCCTCCTCAGTGAGAAAGCCCTCAGGCCACCCAGCGCTCAACCACTGAGTCTCTGCTGTGCTTTCTCTAACAGGAGTTTACAAAGTAGAACTGCCCTGGCTAAGAGGCAGATCTGTACCAGTTTGTATCCCCCATTGAGATAGGAGTCCAATCTTTTGGTTTTTCAGATAGGGTCTCATGTAGCCCAGTGTGGCCTCAAACTCACTAGGTAGATGAGGATCTCCCACCTCCACTTCCCAAGGGCTCAAGTTACAGGTATCAGCCTTTTCCGAGGTGCTGGGGACCCAAGGCTGTGTGCACGGCAGGTAAGCACTCTACCAACTGAGCTACTTCCCCAGCCCCTGGAGGGGGTGGAGTCTGACCTTATTATTATTGTAAGGATAGGGGTGGCTGAGGAAGGGAGGAAGTTGGGGCAGAACTCTTGGCTGCCCTTGGTGAGGCTTTGGCCGCCAGTCTTTACACAACCATGATTTTCACCTCGTCGTTCTCATCAGCACGGTAGAAAAAGGGGATGCAAGGGTTGCTACCCAGGCCTGGGCGCTCCTGGGGGTTCTGGATCTCACGCAGCAGCTGCATGATCTGCTGTGCAGTGGGATTCTCATGGGGAGCAGGCAGCCCTGCCTCTCCTTGTGCAGGCTCTGTGTCGTCAGCCAGGCTCACCTCCCTGAGGTCTTTAGAGAAAGGAGGAGGGGTCATGGCTCTGCATGCCATGGGAGCATCTTCCCATCTGTGCTCTCCCATGACAGCAGCTCTACTCACCATCCTGCTGGTCAGCAGCGCCCAATTCCTGGGAGCCCGTGGGCACTGGGGTGGGCACATCAACAGGGTTCTGAGAGACTGCCAGGAACCTGCCCTGCCATTCATTGCGCTCGTTCACAAGCCTCAGCACCAGCTCCTGAAGCTCCAGCAGCTTTACCTGGAGAAAACAAGCTCAACCTCAACAGCCCAGCCCAGACTCGCCAGGCCTGGACGACAGAAATTCGAGGCTTACCTTCATCTCCTCCTTGTCCTGAGCCAGCCGGCTGATGTATTCTTCCTTCTCCAAATGCCGAGCCTTCAGCACTGCCCTCTGGTTTTGGTAGAGGGCAATGTACTCTCCTGTGGGGGTGGCAGGCAGGTGGACACGGCTCACACACTGTGGCTCCCCCAGTCTGCCCCGTGCACAACCCCCACTGCCTTAGGGTGAGCTCCGCCTCACCAATGGTGTCTGTCTCTCCAGAAAGCTGGATACAGCAATGTTCAAGCTCCTCTACCCTCTCCTTGAGCTCCACTTTCTCCTGCATGACCTCCAGGAAGCGGCTCTGGAGCCAAGACAGAGGTTTCAGGGAATCAGGAGCCCTGGCTGGCCCCACCCTCCCAGCCCCACAGACAAACTCACCTGCAGCTTTTCCATGGCTACATGTAGGGCCTGGTTGCTCTCCTCCGACACAGAGTCAACCACATTCCTGGGGACCACTGCCTCCTCAAGCTTGCTTTGGCCTGGGGCTGCCAGGTGAGCCAAGCTCCGGCTCCGTGCCTTCTGCTCTCTCAGCTGCACACGCAGGCGGGCCTGCTCTTCCCCAGCTCGAGCTAGAGCTGCATTAAAGAATGCCACCTGCACACAAGAGGGAGGTGTGCCTCTCAGGGAGATGGTCAGGACAAAGGGGGCAGGAAGAGAGGGGGAGCACCTGTTCCCAGATGGGAGACTGACCACTGGCTCCTAGGTGCAAAGTGGTAATCAAAAGACATCAGAGGGCAGAAAACCAAGGACAACAGAGGAAACAAACAGAAGGGGCAAGACAGAGCCCAGCTTACCATGGCCTCTCTACTGTCTAGGTCTTCTGGGATGGTCAGACTGGGCTGAGGAACCTCCTCATCTTGCTCCTCCTGGTCCACATCTCCTGGGGGCAGACAGTGGGTCGCCTCCTCTAACAATCCCAGCCGGTAGACAGAGTGGACTAGGAGAGGAGAGCTCAGAGCCCCACCTCTGTGTCCCCACTGTATACCCTGGGGCCAGCCAGTGACTAGAAAATGCCCAATCAAAGCTTCTCCAAATATATCAACTCTAGTCTTCTCCTCCTGGGCAGGCAGTCTTACCTTCCCTAGGGAGGACCAAGAGGCTCAGCTGAGCTTGAAGCTGTTGGTTCTCCTGGCTGGTAGCTTTTAGGCGCTCCTAAGGGGCCAGGACAGAGTGAGAAGGCACAGAGGTGGCCAGGTCCTCCCTCTGGGCCCAGCCTTAACAGCTGCCTCACCTGGGCCTCCTGCAGCTCCTGGCGGGCCATCTCGGCTGCCATCTTGCCCTGTACCTCCTCATGCTGCAACTGGTCCATGAGCTGTGTTTGCAGCAGAAGCTGCTTGTGCAGGGCCTCCTTCTCAGAGGTCAGCTGCTCGTAGGCCGCCAAGTGCTGTTGGTAGGCAGCAACGTACTGCTGCAGGTGCGACAGGCACTGGTCTCTCTGCTCCTGCAGGCCCTGTGCTTCTTGGCTCTTCAGCTCCACCTGCAGGAAGGCAGGCTAGAGCTGAGGGCAGGCAGTGCTTTTGTACCCAGTCTCCTCACGCGGACACCTTTCTCACCACTTTAGGTCCCAGGAGTGGAAAAGCAGATGGGACCAACCCATCCTGTTCTGTACAAACTACTAGTGCCTGATATTTTACGCACACTTTCTCATGTAAACGTTAACACCTCTATGAGGAAACTCATCCTTTAAGTTCTGGATGGGTCTGAAGCTAGGAAGCATCTGAACACATGGATGTGAATCCAGCCTGATGTGAACCCAGGGCCTTGTATAACCTACAACTCTAAAACGGCAGCTTCTGGCCTTGCCACCGATGAAGAGCAGACTGGGGCTACCTGTTCCAGGCTGCAGCTAATCTGTGACAGGCCTTGTACCCACCCCTCCCCAAGTCTGGTGGCTGACACCTGTGGTAGGCCTTACCGTCTCCTTCAGCTCTCCCAGCCGCTCCTGCAGCTCTCCTAGCTTCCTGGCCAGCTCTTTCTTGACATGCTGCTCTGATTGCAGCGCACTGGTAATCTCCATGTTCTCATTGGTCTGAATGGAAAGCAGCAGTCAATAAGACCTAATGTGGCTGGGGTCACCAGAATTGCATGTGTGCTCCCTCCCACAGAGCAGGGAAGGCCGCTGGATCATTCCCACACACCCTAGGGCTCTGGATCATGGGGTGCCTTTGCCACTACCACCTCACGTGAGGTAGACAGCACCCCATTCCTTGTGGGTGCTGACCAAAAGGGGCGAGTGTGTTCCCTGTGAGCAAGGAGGGCCTGCGGGCTCCGCACCAGCCTGACAAAGCCGTTCTGCAGCTCGGCCAGCTGCTCCTTTAGCTCGCGGTTCTGCGACAGCGCTCTGCTGATGGTGGTGCGGTCACTCTGCATGCTCTCCAGGATCTGCTTGCGCTCCTCGGCCTGCTCGCTCCAGTGCTGGGCCTCCCGCTCCAGCTCCAGCAGCCGGCCCTCCTGCTCCCGGTTCAGGTGGCTCAGGCTCTCATTGTCCTGCACCTGGGCCCGCAGCCGGCCCGTTAGACTCTCCAGTTCCTTCTGTAGCTGCTCAAGCTCTCCCTGCAGCCGCTCCTCAGCCTCCGAGGGCCCAGCTGGTGGCTCTGGGGCAGGT